ATAATTATCTACAATAAAATATAGCATTTATTATCTTTTCATTACATATAACAAATATGTATCATTAGTAAACAAATATAGAATTATTTAATAAAAATTTCATAATATTTAGAATTTTGTGAATTATACAAATTTTTAAATTAAATTCTCGCATCGCTCGGACTATTTTTTCTCAACAAATTCTTTAGTTATTTTTGAGGTTTACTTTAATTTTATTAAAACTTTTATAATTTATTATGTTTTATTTACAATAATGTATAAAAATGTTCTTCTAAAAAATAAAAATATAAAGGAAAACATTCCAAAACAATTTTCAATTTCTTATTATTGCTCTATCTTTTTTATACATATTCTTAATATCGTTAGAATTATTAGGTACCCTTGCATGAGTCAGTTAGCTTCATCACTTTCATTGTGCCTCAAATCCATTAATTAAATCTTTTTTGTATTATAACTTGTATCTTTGATCCTAAAAAGAAATATAAATACCTTTTTTAAACAAATTTATAGTGCATGTTATTTCTTTTTTATTTTTATTTAAATTTATTCATTATTGCTATTAAAATGGTGTTAAAATGTTGATGTATAATATTATATTTTTAAATGTTTATATTTTATATGTATATTTTTAAATTATATATTTAAATGTCTCAGAAGTTTCTATAAAGTAGCGGCTTCAATTTTGGAAGTATCTAATTAATTAAGTAATTATTTTAGTTATTCTTTAATTCTTATTTTTATAGTAATAATAAAAAATTTTTAGTTTAATGATGAGTGTAAATTTTAAACAAAATATTTTTGGAATATCTTTAGAGAATAATTCTTATTTTAAATGGGTGGAGAAAATATTTTAAGGAGCACCATATCATATTCTAGACCTTTTTAAAAGGAACAATTGTATAAATGAAGATAAACAGTAAATTACAATTGATTTTTCTAGAGAATTAGATGCATGAAAGGGAACTCAAAATGCAAAATATTATCGATTTTGTTTATTGTAAAACTTTGATTATTTAAATTATAAGTAATAACTCATATGTAAGTAATAACTCATTAAATTGGCAATATTTGAATAGATATAATAATTTTTTGGATGTATTCTTTTAGCAAATATTTAACATAAATTTTAAATGCATAACACAGATTTCTTGATTGATTTTCTTTATAAAATTCATAATTTATTAATCGTTATTTATTTGTTATTGTTACCAAAATAAACAAATTTCGCTTTTGAAGAGCAATTTAATTAATTTAATCTGTTTATATTATATATTTAATATGAATTTTTATAAAAATTTTTTGTCATTTTTTCATTTCTGGAATTTGTTTTTGTTTCATTCCTTTCCTGGAACCCATCAGTTGAATCTCTTATTATTGCCTCCTTTAGGTTTAACAGAATAAAACATACAAATTTTTGATATTAACGGATAAAATTCGTCGATTTCATACTGCATCCGAATGTAAATTTAGTTAGTTTAATGATTTTTAAATAGGTATATTATTGGAAATATCAAATAAAATAATTACAATGAAACTTTTGAGAATTTTAGAAGAGGATATTCGAAGGTCAAGAAGTTAGATTTATAATTTTAATAAATAATGAAAATATTAAATATACAAAATATATAAAAATATATATTAATTAAATAATAATAAAAACACATTAAAATATCAAAACCGTACGAGTACAAATATTTGTACTTTTAATGAAAAACAAAAAATTTAATAAAATTAATTGTTTTGTAATTTTCTTATGGAAAAAGCTAGTTTAAAAATAAAGTTAAAATTTGAAAGTTGTTGATAGGCCCATTCAAAAACAACGTTGAGGCGAAAATATTTTCTTTTTCAAATATCGGGTCGTTTGTGTAGAGCGACGATAATTTTGTCTTTCTGAAAGTAACCCCGATTAACTATTGTTTAACTTTCTCTAGCTTTTTACACACACCAATTTCTATTGTTTCCAGCTTTAAGAATTAAATAATTGTGTTGGCCGCTTACTCAAAAAGGCGTTTTAAAAAACAGCACAATCGTTTATCTTAATAAATTATATGTTTTAATATAAAAATATGATGTAAACATTGGTATAAACCATGGCAAATCTCAACACTTAACACAAATACACTTAGTTATATGTATAAAAATTTTTCTTTTGTTTATTATTTGTTATTATTCTTATTTAATAACTGGATTAAAATTTCTAGATTTTAAAAAATAAATATTTAATATTTTCATTGATTTTAAAATGTATCTTCAACGATTTAACTATATATTTTTATTAATTTAAATCGCAACAATTATCGAATTCATTACGAAGAATATAATTTAAATAGCAAATGAATAAATAATAATCCTTCTTTCATAAGGTTCGTTGAAGTAATAAATATTTGTACTCCCACAATTTAGGTCTTTGCATTATGCCTCCACACATACTATTTTTTAAGATCCAATTTTCTAAAACGTAATGATTATAAGTAGAGTTCTCTCTCAAGCGAAGTTTTAATTAATAATAAACGACATGTTTTGCCAAAAATTTAGGTTTAACCCAAAAAATATTTAATTTATAAATGTCTAAAATTATTAAAATAAAATCCCGTTTTCTGTTAAAAAATTTATGTTTTAACTGTTTTTGTTGCGTAATCTTAGAGCTAAAAATTCAAGACACTTTTTCTTTTCTAATGTAACATTTGAGTCGAAATTTTATAGTTTAGTATTATCTTGTATAGTGTAGTATTATCATATTTTATAATGTATTATTATTTAATTTTATAGTGTAGTAAATAAAATCTAAAATTTAATTATTATATTTTTTATTCATGATTTATTATTTATTTTTTCTAGTAAATTAATCAATAATTAACTAAACAGGCATTATATATTGTGCCATGCTTCTATAGAGTTGTTAGTGCGTGATAACCATACACATGGTTTTCGCTTATATTATTAGAATATTATTAAATGTAATCAATAATATTGTGGATTATTCAATAAAATTTTATTTTTTGCTTTTTGGCTTTAATAAATACTAAGAATTCGTCACAGCTTCTTTTGAAGATAGAACATTTCTAAATCAATTTATTTTTATATTTACATTCAACTCATTTGCTATAAATTCTTTATTTTAATTAAAATTGCATTATTTTAATTGTCACAAGTTTTGTTTTAGATTCGAATAATTCTTCTTAATTTTAGCTTCAAAATTTTTATACTATTAGATAATATCAATCATAATTTAGTTGAATTTTTTTGAGAATATTTATGCTTATAAACATAGATAACTAAAATATATGCTTATATAACTAAATTGTTAATTTCTATTTATATGTTAAAAATTTTCATTTATCTATGAAAAGAAATTTTGCTATAATAATAAATTTTCACATGTCTATCTGCAGTTTAATTAACTGATGTGCATAATTAGAATTTAATAATAATGTTCACAACCGAAATTTCTCCACCGGCCCAACTTACATAGAATCGCTCCTCGACATGTCCGATATACATAAGCCAAAATTTAACTTTCGTAAAAATTTTTCTAAAGACAAATACTAAAATTATGGTTAATTCTTTAATAATTCAATTATTTTATAAAATTTAAACCATACTCATCATTCTCATTTAAATTATATAAATATAATTAGTATTTTGTTGTTTTTGTTCTTCTCTGGGAGTAGTCGATAAAATATCATACTTTAATAAATTTTAATAAATTTTACTTTTCGGATCAAATGTATATTTTAATTGGAATTAACTAGGTTATTTTAAAAATAGATTAATCATTAAAAATTGGAGGTCCTACCCAACCCGACAGTAAGGGAAATAAAAATAAAATACAGGGTGCGGCAAATTTAGCGCCGACTTTGTTTTGGCTATAACTTCTTTAATTTTAAACGAAAATTGATAATTCTTTTTTTCCTGGATTCCCAACACTTTAGGAAAATTGTTGATACCAAAATCGTTTTTAAATTTTATAATTAAGTTTGATTAATTTTCTATCAAATTTCGAGCAAAAATTTTTGGATAAAATATGGCCTGGATTCAAGGCTATTATTTTAATTTAAGAAGTTTATATATCATTCGAATCAGCTCTCCAATCTGATTCGAATGACGTCAAAATCAAGCGTCTATCACATAAATGGACCGAGATATGGCTCACTGAATGATAAATTAAACAAATTTTGGCAAATACGAATTTTTTGTGTGAAATTTTCAAAAATGAGATTATTAGCTATTTCGATACGCCTGAACGAGATAAGTCGATTGGTACGAAAATTATTCGGATTGGATGATTTTGAACAAAGTTATAATCAATTAAACTTTGACAAAAAAATCCATTTTTACCCGTTTTTATGTTCGGACTCGTTTTTCATTGAGACCCGCAAACAAAATGTTTATTATTTGTTACCAATAGATTTCCTAAAGTGTTAGGTGTAAAACAAAAAAAGAATTATCAATTTTCGATTAAAATTAAAAAAGTTATAGCCAAAACAAAGTCGGCGCTAAATTTGCCGCACCCTGTATTTTAAATTTAAAGAAAATTTTTTTTTAATAATTACTTATAATATTAAGTGAAACAGTAATCTTTAGGAAAGATTATGTAATTATTAATGGATTTCTATGGAAAATTAAGAAATAATTTAGAACATTTAAAATTTCATTTAAATAAAACTATACAGAACCAGTTTTAAAATCGAAAATTTTTAAAAAAATTTTTTAAAAATTTGAAAAAAACTGCACACGATGTTTTAAGTAAATATTTACCGATACTTTCCAAAAAGTATTTCTGCCTTAAATACATACGTATTTGTTGAAAAACCAAAAAAGTAAATCCCAATTCCCAAATAATCCAAAGGCTAAAATATTCAAAAAAATAAGTAAATATTTATATACATATATTCAAAAAACATTAAAATAAATTATTATTATTTCTTTTTACTAAACATCAACATAACGCGACAGGCGTTGCCAAGTCGTTTCATGTGGCAATAAGATTTGGGCCACGCTCAGCGGCGCGGTGATGCGCCGTTGCGAAGTCGGCGAAATTCGAGGAACTTGAGCTGCATATTTTTGGCATAACGATAAACAACTAAATTAAAGAGCAAAATAACCACCAGAAAAAGAAAATAAATAATATGAAGAAATACAGTAAGTAGTTGATGAGAAGGAGGTGCTGGGACGAGTGGAGCACAGACGGCCGATTCATACATAGATAAAGATTATTATAAATATATGAAAGTTTAATATAATATATGAAAGATAAATATATGAAAGATATATGAAAGTCTAAATATAAAATATATGAATAATAAAATAAAGGCAAATGAAATGATCATTAAAAGAAACATTTTTTGCTCATTTACATTCATTTACAATTTAAAAAATATTTATAAAAAATCCTTAAGAATAAAAATGGTTATTTCCTTATTAAAATTCGACTCGTATATATTTCATAGTGAGGAAGATGGAATGGCATGGCGTTTATACGATCGATTAAGAGATCGTAGACGTTTGGAATTTGAGGTAAAAAAGATAATACAAAATGGGGGGTGTTGTTTAAATAGATATTAAAATTTAAAATAGATTAAACATGTTTATATTAATCAGTTTTATACATTTATATAAAATTTATTTACATATAAAGTTTATTTAAATAAAGTTATACAAAATGTTTTTTTTTATTTTTTAAAATAAATTTTTAAAGAAAGATTAGAATTAAGCGAGCAGTAAAAGAGAAAATGTAGATATATTAACTTAAAAGCATTAGTATTAAATATTGACCTAGATAAACAAATATGCTGTAAGGGAAAATTAAGATTTTATATTATTGAAGACAATATTCTAAAGGATTGACTTAGACTCCGATTTAGAATGTCAGGCAGATGAGACATTTCACAGAAAATGAATTACAAAATATATGGCTTTTTATTGGTTTTTATCATTGCATTATAATATATTAACCTGTTTACACAAACAAATTTGAAAACTTTATCACAGTTTTTATTCTATAAATTTGTATTTATTTGAGTAAAAGGAAAATAATGTTAGAAATTCATACAGATAATATTAAAAAAGGAAATTAAAATAAAATTAAAATATAAAATTTTTAAAAAATTATTATTAATTTTAAAAGAGAAGAATTAGATAAAGAATAATGCTAACTTTTACCAAAATAAAGTCGTGGCACAATACCTTCCTGAAATAATATGCAGTTGATTGAAGTTAATCCATTTGACAACCTTTGGGGTAAGTAACCATTTATAAACATTAAGTAGGAAAACCTCTTCGTGGTAAAATAAAATAGGACATATACACGAAAAAGTTACAGAAAATATAAAAATAAATACCATATATAAAACTAAATACCAATTCCGAAATTACCTTTCAATAAAACAACGATTTACTGTGGGTTACATAATGCTGGCTCATCGTCACATGGTTCAATTTTGCATCAAAAATCCTTTTATTGTTTAAGTTTACAATTAAATTGCTCCAATTGAATTAAATATCCATTGGGCATAATACGTCCCTGTAAATATAGATAAATAAAATTTATAAAGATAAATAAAATTTATAATCTAAAACATTTAGAATACTTAATATATGGAGATTAATAATATATAATATTAAATAATTTTGAAACTAATAATGTAAATATTTCAATAGTAATGAAAATATAATTCCTACAAAAGATTATTATAATTAATTAATTACTTTAAATGAATTTACTTTTTCAGTCTAGATTTACTTATATGTATGACCATTTCGTAGCTTAAATAATTTAATAAGTTATATTAAATAGATAAAAACAATGCTTAACATATCCAATATTTTATATTAAATAAGCAAATATCTCGCTGTGAATTGTTTTCTCGATTATGAGAATAAATTTTGACACGGAATAAATTTCGACGGATGTGTTTATAAACACAGAGGCTTGCCGAGCCATATTTGGCTGACAACCTTAAAGATGATGAGTCTTTCTTCTGATTAATAACAAAAATTACTATAATTAAGATTCGGGTCGTATATTAATAAACTGATTAAATCTTAATGGAAAATTGAGTATTTAACTGAGAAATTATAGTAGTACAATAAAATTTAAAATCATTCAGCTACAAAGCATGAAAAAGTTTTACTATTAAAATATAAATAAACAATTAAACTACATATTAAATATTTAAACTTTAATAATTATTTGTATTATACTTAATAAATTGTAGAATATAACTGTATTATATAATAAAAATATCAGCTATTTATGTAAAAAAATCTAGAAGACTAACGAATACCTAAGTATTTAAGACTATAAAATTTGAGTATAAATAATTAAATAAGAAATATATTAAAAAAGATTTATGACCACCAAAAGAAAGCCGTCTCACTTTAAAATATAACGATCACATTTATGGACTATGCGAAAAATGCAAGATTTATATCTATTGCTGAGAGAAATAGAAACAATTTTAAACGACTGATCAGCGAATAAAATAATAAGCTAATCTCTAATTATAAAATTATGATTTTTAATATAATGATTCATAAAAATTTATATAAAAAGATTTCCCTACATACGTTTTAATAAATCCATATTGGGATTATGGTAAACCTTGTGATGAAGAGTTAGTTGATAAATACACTAATTTTTGATAAAATAGATTTGGTTTAATTAAATAAAATAGTATTTAATAAAAATTATTTTTAATAATAAAAGATTTGTAGACAACATTAGACTTTATTTACAAATATTTAAGAATGTTTAAAAATAAGCTTTATTAAAAAAATGTATAAAAACATTTCGCATATAATATGTGCAACTGCAGTTTGTTAAAAATGAAAATAAATAATAAAATACAAAAATGATTGGTGTCTTGTTATAATTTTATTCGATTTGTGTCTACACATTTTAATAATTAATTTATTTTAGGTTATAGATTTAGCAGATTCTTATATGGTTAATGAAAATGTAATGATGCAACTTTATTATTTAGCATTTTAAACCATTATGTAGCTAATCAGAGGCAAGGGTTTAAATATAAGAAATAAATATTATATAAATCTACTAAAATAAATATAAAATAAATAGTTTGAGATAATAATAATAATGAACAGATTATTTTAAATGAATCTAAAAAATAAAAAAAATTAACTTTGAAATTAATAGAATTTAAATAATATATCAACCAACAAAGATACTATACCAAATTTGAATCAACAAGCCTTTACAACATGCGCAAAAGTTATTAACTCCAAAAGTATCTAATTTAAATTTCATTAATTTACTTGTGATTACTTTACATTTGAATAAAAATTAAATTTATTTCACTAATCTGAAACGTGGTTTGCTGACCCATATCGGAATGATATATAAATTTTAGATGTATTTTTTAAATATTTTAATATAATTATATTGAATTAATAATATGATAAATTTTACAGGTTGTTAAAAAATAAATGGTATTTTGCTTTAAAATTTATACATAAATAAATTGTATCAAAAAGTAGAAAAATAAAAAGAAAGAGTTAAATAGACAGATTAAAATTAAGAAAAATAATAAGTGATTATTAATTTTAAGATTATGTCTAATACTTAATAAATAAATATATGATTTTTTTCAAAAAATGGACTAAATATTGTTTGCGTTATCTAAGATCTCAAGGATTTTTAACTAATAAATTTAAAAAGATAATAAATAAAAAACTAGACTCAAAAATTGAAACTTAATTTTTAGCTATTGATTTTGAATTAGAAATTGTATAATATGGAATAATTGATAAGAAATTTATATGACTACAAAATTAATTAGTTGCATATTTAAATAAATTAATGAAAAATAATTTTGAATACAGTCTCATTTTGAATCACTACATAGAATGAAAATATTTTGTCTAAAATTGGTATGAATTTGAAACTTAAGTCGGCTGGTGGCGAGAATGTTGAGAAAACGACAAAGAAGGAGAAAAATAAAGAAATAAAATTAAATTAAAAATTAAATTTTTGTAAAAATATAGAAATATGCCTGAATAATGACGCTAGAAGAATTTATTGCGCGACGGATATTTTCGGGTGAAACACTCAAGTCCAAATTCTCCTTAATAGTTCGACAAGAAATGCTTGAATTAGAGGCAGCCATCAGAATTCTTCTATCTCGTGGTTTTAACTTAGGTTTAGGCCAATCAGTTTTATTGGTCGCATAGAAATCCGGATTTTTTAAAAAATTGTTGACAACACGAGGACTTGAAATTTTCAAAGCAATCGCCCTGTTTTTATTCTTGGTGATAATAATAATGAAAAATCAATGGACAGACTTTAAATAATAAAATACTTTTTAATTGAAAGAATAGTTAACTTAGCTTCAATATTAATTTTGCAAAGCATATTTATTTATTAATAATTATTTAAATACATAAACGTTCTCAATTAATAAAGTTATTTTAAAATTAAGTAATGTATGATAAAATAATACAAGATTAAAAAAAACATTTCAAACCCTTTTCTAAAAAAGCAAGGGTTGGATATGAAAAAATAATTGAATAGCTTAAAAAGATGTTTTGGATAACCACCAAAATCGGAAATATAAAACGATAGGCAAGAGATGAAGTTATAAATTTATGGTAAACTTTTTTATACAAATAATATTAGAATACAATAGTAATAGAATCCATGATGACCGCAATAATTATAGACTTGAGATTAAAAGGAACCAAACTAGGTGAAAGAGAAATAGCAGTTTGGTTTTTATGATTTTTTGCTTAACATAGATTAACTTTTAGTGCTTAATGTTTTACACTTAATGATAAATTAAAAAAATTTAAATGAAAAATTAAAGATTTGGATCGATACATCACAAAATCAGACGTTAACCAATATGTCGAAAGAACTAACATGATCGTTGTGTTCAGGATAACTTCTTATCAACACTACTTATATCCGAATATTTATCCATTTAGATTAATAATTATTTTTTTAAATATTTTTTAAACTATTTTGTTGAAATAAGATTATATATTTCATTGTTTTATTTATTTATATGCATGTATTTAAATTATGCTTCTCAAATTATAATAGGTATATATATTTTGCTTGTTAGTGAACGCGAATTAAAGCACATAAATAAAATTTTAAACCATCATTTTATAAATATATGTAAGATTGTTATTGGAAAGAAAAATTCCTTTAATCATAAAAAATGGAAATAATATAAAGAGAAAA